CATCGGAGCAACTACCATCGTTCGCTCTCAACGAGATCCGCTCCCGCCGATATTGAAGACAATTTTCCTGTGTGCCGAGTCATTTCTTTAACTTTGTCCGAGAAAATCTCTGACACATATGTGTGTGTGTGTGTGTGTGTGTGTGTGTGTGTGTGTGTGTGTGTGTGTATAGCAACACTAGTTAAACGGACAGCAGAGGAACCAAACCTGCGGGTAGCTGATGAGCTGCCTGTAAAGTTCCGTGTCGAAGGCTTGCACATGACCGCAATTGACGTTGAGCACAGGGTCGCCAACTACGCTGATCTGAAGACAGACCAGGCAAAAAAAAAAAAAAAAATTGAGTGACACATTTTCTAACCATAAAAATAAAGAGTAGTACAAGTCGTTACCTCCTCCAGTTTCTGCATGTAGATAGGCTCATTGAGGTCCAGGCCGGCGTTTTCGTTCTCGGTGGAATTTGGGTCGACAAACCTCTGCAGGAACCTCTGGGGGCAAAGCAGATGATGACGACCTTTGGCAGGATTTATACTGCGTGTTCAAGAACCCATATCTCATTCGAAGCCTTCATCAGCTTCCCCTGCTATCGCTCTCCCTAAAAATCCAATAAAATAACCCAATAGAGTGCTCCACTCAAGGACAGAGTCCTCTCACGTGGGGTCCCTCAAGGGACAGTCTTTAGACACCTTTTGTTCAGTCAATATGCGCTAACCTTGTCAAATTCTTTCGATCACCAATGTTGGCTATCGTGGTTCTGCAGATGATACGCAGCCAGATCAATCAATGTCCCCAATCCCCAAGTGACAACAGCTCAAATAATGTGCTATGTCAGCATTTTGCTGTTATGCTGCACGCAAATGGAATAAGCTGCCAAAAAAACTGGTTCGCCCGGAGTTTAAATGCCTTTAAATCCAGGTTAAAAACTATGCCCTTCCCATACATATAAATAAATTCTTTCAAAATCCTGTTCTTGTACTGTACATTTTTATTTGTAGTCATTTTAGTAAACTATTTCTTATTTTTCTACTTTGTTTTTAGATTCTTCAAATTCTTATTTTGCCTTGAAATGTGTTTGTCTCACAGTGGAGACATTCACAATTTACAGAAGCAAAATTATGAAAGGGAGAAGTAGAAGAACAAAAAGTATATAATTAAATATAAATATGATGTATACTGTAAATAAAGATGCCTTGCCTAATATTCTAATCAATAGTAAGAAAAAAAAACATTTTAAACTAAATTATCTTAAGTTTGACACCTCTGGCCCAATTGGACTGCTCCCTGCACTCCATTAATTTAAATGAGGGCTACATGTTTCAGTGTCAAGTTCCAAATGTGCCACCTGAGAGTAGAAACCCGAATTGTCACTCGAGGAGGGCGAAAGAATCGAGGCAAAACACCACATACCTGAAATTTCTCTTTACATGTGCCCACATTGACATCAGTTCCCCAGATGACCAACCTCTGACCCATGTTGGGCTCGCAGGCAACTGCGCCCTCACCGCTCGGCTAGGAACAAAGGAGAATAATAATATTTGAAAAAGTAAATAAATAAAACTTTGAAAGAGCATGTGTATCTGGACAACCACTTACGGGCTCAGACTGAAGATCAACTTGAGGGGCCTTTCTCACAGAGCCCAGATCGGGTCGCTGGCGGACAGGGGTGCCCCGGACACTACTGCGGGGAGTCCCATAAATGAGAGGGGAGCTCATGTCCACGTCGTTGGGGAGAACTGGTTGAAAAGGATGTTCAGGAAGTTCAAACGAGCGTCTCGATGAGATCAAAAAGAGGTACTTACTGTGGTGTGAAAAAGTATTTGCCTTACCAAATTAAATTGGCATTTCAAAACTGCTTTTTGTATTTCCTTGTGTTGTCTCTGTGTAATATTAAAATTGGTTTGATGAACTGAAACCTTGATGTGTGATAAATATGCAAAGAACACAGAAACCAGGCAGGGGGGAAATCATTTTTCATGGCACCGTATGTCGTACAAGTCACCTGAGGGTCGAGGGCTGGAGAACAGAGAAACGTCTTGCGGTGCTGCTGGACTGAGCATATCTGTGGCGGGCGAGGTGGGCATGGGCATCAGTTCACCTGCGGAGGAGTCATGGGCTCTGCGCCGCTGAGATGCCGGCGAGGAGGCTGGGCCATCGCTGCGGGCTGTGGGTTACAACACAATACAATTACCAGTACTCCTCCTACAACTCACACAGAAACTTCACATGTATATGTTTACATATAAGTGCAACACACGTGTGGATGGGTTGGTGCTCCTGCCTCTTTTGCGACCAGGGGTTGATGTGGGAGAAGACATTGTGGAGAATGGATCTAGACAAGCAGAAAAAATGAATGAATGAAAGTCAGTAATAAAAATAAAAATATTCTAAGATAAAGATAAATTAAATTTATAGTCGAAGATGTTGTGAAGAAACCTAAACTATTACAGAGAGACCCCCACTATTTGTGTGTGTGTGTGTGTGTGTGTGTGTGTGTGTGTGTGTGTGTGTGTGTGTGCTAGCCAAACCCGCGAATAGCATCAATCTGAGCATAACCCACCAAAATTCAGAGAAACCTAACCTCCTATGCGTTTTCCAGGAAAAACAAGTTTACTCGCCCCAACCCCCCCCAAAAAAAATTCCCCAAACAAAAAAATACGCTCACCCTTGCCCTAGTAAGCGAGGGTCCACTATAGATCAAAAATAAGTAACTTAAAAAAATATTAAATACATAAGGCTAGTGTATGACGTGATGCTGTTTTTTTAAAGATCACACTCTACATTTTTAATTACCCAGATTATACTTATTAGCGTTGAGAAAACAAAACATCAGAAGGGTGCAGTAGGAGATGCAGTAATGGGTTTCGATGGAAGCTTTAATTTCGGTCAGCAACATTTCCACCATTACACATAAGGCCACAGAGCAAACAATAGGCTGACAACAAACTTCGGTGTTACAAGAAATAAGTGAACCAACAATAGCACGGCGTTCATGGCAAGCATGGTGGAGGACGTGTTTGTCGACTTGGATCCCCGTCCAAATTGACATTTACCGAGTGCTTAATCATACAAAAGTCAAGAAAAAGAGACACGTCTTACCTCTTACTGCCAACACGAGTGCCGATTGCTGTGGCGCGAAACTCTGTGTGACGTAGTTTTCGCGGGGAACTTTGGACCAATGGTGAACGAGAATCCGTTTCTTGCTTCCGGTCGGATCTTCCACTTTTGAGGGTGGAATTCGAGTATGATGTTTGTCCATATCAGCGTCAAATAATGGGGTTAACCGTCCCGTTTGTACGTAAAGGACAGTGCATAGGTACAAATCGGATCGAATTTGGTTTTATTTAAGTAAATGTTACTTATATGTTATTTGAAGCTTATGGTGCACACGCCGCCATCATATTTGGGTTCGTCCAAAACGGTTCACTTGTTTATAAAGTTTCATCTCATCGAAAGGCATAAAACAATTAAAATCCAAACTAGAAACGCCCCCCACCCCGCACCATAATTATTTTACAAGAATGTGTCGTGGCTTATCGCTTATCGAATACCGTAACTCGCCCGTTTACAATAACTAAATCACGTCCAGTTTATGGAAATATTTTTCCAGTTCTTGTTTTCTTATCATTCTATGCAATTGATTAAATAATAAAAACAATCAAAATACTTCAAAAACGCTTGACACAAGCCACAATTAAGACGTTTAAATGTGTTCATTTATTTTTCTTTATGTCGACATTAACCTTGCAACAGTGCACATTGACCGCCACGGGGCGCAATTTCCATTTTATAATTTCATGTACACAAAAAATTGTGCTTGGGTCGTAATTATTTTAGTAATTACGCAGGCCTTGAAACTTCCTGACATACGACACTTAGCATTTCAGTTGACGCAAAGAAACATTCTCACTTACCGCCGCACCTACTGTGTGTCACATGATTGTTTATGTTTTTGGCCTACAGGGGGTTTTCATTTTAAAAAAATCCGTATTCTGTAGCATAGGTTAGTGTTCGACCTCTTGAAATAGAATTATGCATCATTAATAAACTGGTAAATAGAACGAAGAAAGAGTAATGATAGGTGAATAAACAGAAAAAGCTAAACTTAGAGTTATCTTCGACAATAAAGCTTATTCTGATTTGATAATGGCACCGTGCTGTCTCTCAGAGGTCAGTCTTGATACTACGAAGATGAGACGATTGTCAGGTGCTTGATAGGTGTGCTTCGTTGGTCATCCGGAGTACACCACACACGCTAAACATCGGCCGTTCGCACATTTCTGTAGTGCCATTACTGTTTTCATTCTTGTAGCTCACTCCGAATCATTTGGCTGATTTAATTTGTTTACAGTATGTATGTCCTTAATATGTATTTTGTTATGGTCGGTCGGTCTGTCTGTCTCTCTCCCTCTTCCCCAAAACATATTACAGTCACGTCAACTACAGGAGACAAATTTCTTGTGTCTTTTTAACAAAGATGGTGCTCATTCTGATCAGAGTATAATCACAATTAACCCCCCACTCGTCATGTGAAGAGTCGCTGAGATTAAATAAAAGTTTAAAATATGTTAAACGAATCAGTATGTTTGTGCCCTGCTTTGGATAGCGCGGTCGCCAATGGTGATTTTCAACTAGAATAATTAGTTATTTATTTTCAATGAAATGCATGTCTGTCACGGAGGTCCTCTGGGGGTCTCCTGGGGGGGCGGAGGGGGGGTTGTTTTTGGCCTCACCAGCAGCAGCACCACCCTCGTATTCAGATGGATACCAACTATCCTAGGGCCAGAATTCTGCGTGTTCAGAAACTTTGCAGCAGTATGTAAACATCTCAGAGCCATTCATGTAGTCGTAGTAAAAAAAAAAAAAAAAAAAAAAAAAAACCCAGGCGCGCCCCCTGTTCCCTTCGAATGGGAAGTTACCGGAGATCATGTGACCCTGCTCCCAACCTGACTGGCCCGCCGGAGGGAGGGTGTGCGTGACGTCAGCGCGAAACGATACAAAACAGTGCGCCAAAGTTAGCGACGAGTCAGAAGCGTCAACTTGACAAGGCGTGAAAAAGCGTTGACAGTCAGCGATCAAGGATCAGGAAGTGAACTCGGACCAGCAACACACTCAACCGCCCCGCGTGGACAAGCCAGCAGAGTTCATGTGTGACATATACAGCTTTGACCCTCACGGCGTGTCTCCACCATGCAACATGAGTTGGGCGATGGAGCCCGCTAACTTCTACGAGAGCGCCAAGCTGGGGGGTCCGCCGATAGGCCCGTGCAAGCCGGCCATCCGGGCGGAGGAGGGGGCCACCATGGCGGAGCTCACCGCCCCGGCCATGTACGACGACGAGAGCGCCATCGACTTCAGCCAGTACATCGAGTCCATGACGTCCGTGCCCAACCTGGAGCTGTGCAACGACGAGCTCTTTCTCGACCTCTTCAACACGGTCAAGCAGGAGAAGGCGGAGCTGTACGCCGCACAGGGCGCAGTGCTGCCCGGCTGCGCGGTCCCATACGGCTTCGAGCGGAGATCGGACTCGGTTCAGCTCGACAAGGGTCCTTTCGGGGCGCCCATCAAGCAAGAGTCTGACTGGAGCGACAGCGATATGTCGTCTTCGCTGCCGTGTCAGATCGAAACCTGCGCGCAGACTTCGGTCAGCCTCCCCACAGGGCAGCCGACGCCGCCCACCACGCCGGAGCCCGTCTCGGCCAAGGGCTCGCCGCGCAAGTCCGTCCGGGAGAAGACGAAGAAGGCGGTGGACAGGTTCAGCATGGAGTACCGACAACGGCGCGAGAGGAATAACATCGCCGTGCGGAAGAGCAGGGACAAGGCCAAGATGCGCAATTTAGAGATGCAGCAGAAGCTGATCGAGTTGAGCTCCGAGAACGACAGACTGCACAAAACCATCGAGCAACTCACCAGGGAGCTTGGGGGCCTTCGAGAGTTCTTCAAGCAGATGCCCGGCGCCTCTTTTGCGGGGAGCGTCAGCACGGAGGCTCGGTGACCGGGTGACGCCTCCACGTGTCTCCTTGAGCCCTCTTTTTACGAATGAACTTTTTTTTTTTTTTTTGAAGACATACCTCAGAGACAACTTGTTTACCATCTGTACCAGATGTATTTTAAGCTTACCATAATGGCACTGGAAAACATATGATGTTGCTGCCATATTTTTGTGGGATTCATTTTTTTCTCCCTTTGTATTATTAAATTATTTTACCACTGCATTTACATGATGTCATACATACCTGCCATGGTACATGTTTTATAATTCCAGACTTTGTATAAGAGCCAGAGCATGATCTTTTTTCTATAGTTTGTATGAAACTTTTTTTGTTTATGGATGCTACAATAAAAAAAAAAAAAAAAAACAACTGTAAAGGTGCACAATGGGCTGTGGTGTAGTCAAATGTCAGCAGTAACACAAGTTTATTTTTCATATGGTTATTATAATTTTTTTAAATAAATGCGCGACAAGTGAAGTGATAGAACACGTGGGCGGCTGTGACAGGACACATGCCATTGGTCCACATAGGGCCAGTCAACCGCCACTCCACACCAACACCACCTCATTTTCCTGCTGCAGAGTGCTCCCCTCATGCACTCACCAAGAGGCCCTAAAAAGGGGGGTAAGTAGACAAAAAAAAAACCCAAAACAAAACAAAAAACCTCAGAGGCAGATCTCTTCCAGGCTGATCCACAGTGAAGGTCTCCTGGAGACTACTCGAACATAAAGAGTGAGGGGGCCCACTTCTTTCCCCAGCACAGTGGACACATCATAATCTGAACACTGAAACCACAAGCACACACAACAAATGTTTAGTATTACGCGCTTGCAGTTGTAATTATCTCAGGTCATTCATGTCATTTGCACTGGGAAACGAAAGACCTCTGCATAGACATAGATGCCTCGCCCCCAAAGCTGCAGTTGGTAAATATCTCTGTTCAAAATAACTCTACAGTGTAACCATATAGTGGACTCTATATTTGCAGTTTGCCATTAGTAAATTCACCTATTTGCACATTTTTGGGAACCTATCCTCCATTAAGGGTGGAAAAACGGACTTATTTGTATATTTTTACATGACGTGTCAAAATCCTCCAAAAGTTATATTTCTGTGGCAAAATATTGGCTGCAGTTGCAATTGACTGCACTATAGCGTCTGTTCAGTTGATATAGTAAACTGCTACTGTCAGCCGTAATCCACACCAAAACACAGTGTTTGATGATGATTGACAGTCCATGGGAGAGACACTGTAATGGTGGCACCACGTCTGCTTTGGTTCATGACAGTTTTGCCAAACTAGGACTAAACACGACTCGCAAACTAGTGGAATCCATAACCACAGCTCAGCGGTACATCTCTAAACCAATCCACAATCGCCAGATTCTGTTGTCATTGAGTGGATCCAGCGGGTTTGCGTTAGTAAACTCCCAAAAAAACGTTTGCCGCTACGTTGGGTTGGAAGGTCACAAAGGAGCAGACTTTCCTACCATCCCAGACGAACTCTTGAGCTTCTCCTGTACAGTCATATGTTCATTGTTTTAACCTGGGCTGCACAGTTACAGTAAATAATCATCATAATTATTGCCGTGCACAAACAGGTACTGTCTGTACATTGTGAATCATCAAAATTGTTAACATGACGTACAGGTGCTGTAGACTGCATCTGTGCACTGAGCTGCAGGGGTAGAGCAATATTTGATGAGGTTTATAAGCATTTAAAGTGCTTGGGATCATAGTTGGAGGTTTGTTTGTGATTTCATCTGTTAGATAAACAATTCTAATCTCTTCGGGCAAAGCGTTATTTGCAAAAATGCATTCGTACATTACAAAGAGATTCGATCAATTACATAACAATGGTATTGAAAATCTGCATATATCACAAGTGGACAATAACTGGGGGATTAGATCAGTTTTATCGGTATGTGACTTTACAGAACATCAATGTGGCCCGCCTCAGCCCAGTCTTATGTAACAAAGTGCGTACAGTATACTGTAGTTAAAAAAAAAAAAAAGTAAACCTACCACTGTTGCGCGCTCCAGCACGGCCGTGTCAAGAAGGGACATGATCGTATTATGCTGCAGCTGTGTGGTGGTGAGGGAGAAAAAAAAATGATGGTGTGTTGACATTAATATCGCTAATAATCCTCTTAAGACTGCAAATTAAAACTAATGACTCACCACTAATGTGCACCAGATGCTGAGCGACACATTGACCCCGAGTTTAAATAACATATAGTGCGTATCAGCAGAGAGAAAGATGATGGCTTTATCGCCTTGCAAGACTGATTACAACATTACGCAACAAGATACTGTATGTACAGTACACCTATATAAACACTTGAAAACATGTTTGCATTGTTTTCCACAGAGCCCATTTATTTTAAATAGGATTCAGAATATGTCTATATCTCTATCTGTGCCCAAACACTCACTCTCTCTCTGTCTACTCTCTCTCTCTCTTTTGATACTTCAGAGTAAATTGAAATTATGAATGAAGGAATGAAAGTCGCGGCCCGTTGTCGACTGGTTAGTGCGTCGGCCTCACAGTGCAGAGGTGAAGGGTTCGATTCCGGCTCCGGCCTCCCTGTGTGGAGGTTGCATGTTCTCCTCGTGCCTGCGTAGGTTTTCTCCGGGTACTACGGTTTCCTCCCACATTCCAAAAATATGCGTGGCACTCGACTAAATTGTCCCTCGGTGTGAGCGCAGATAGTTTTTCTTCTATTTGTGCCCTGCGATTGGCTGGCAACCGCTCCAGGGTCTACCTTTCTACTGCCCGAAGACAGCTAAGATAGGCTCAAGCTCGACCCTTGTGTGGATAAGCAAATCAGAAAATGGATGGATGGATAAATGAAAGTCTAATGGACCGCCACATTGTTGTGTTATGCCTTCAGCGATTAAAAAAAAGGCTTGCATTTCATCGGTGTTCCTCAAATCTTTAGTGTTTCAAGTCTGTCTGTCAAAAAAAAAAGCTCAAGAAAAAACACACTTGGTGATTACTACCTGTTTTAATGTCGGTATGCTCAATATTACAGCATGCTGTATAAATCTTTACCTGCATTGGTTAGCAACAGTTCAAATGGGTTCAAAGTTTAACGCTTTAGCGATCTGAGTTTTTGCTGACGTCACATGTAGACACGGTGTGAGGCTTGTCTGACTTTTGAGGCATGTTGTTTTATATGACCTCAAAGTGTACCATTTGTAGGCATTTGATGAAATGCAGTCAATAAAGCAAGCACACTCACCTTAACCTTTATGGTGCAATTTTGTACAGAAGCAGAGCTCAGGAAGACCTCCATTTGCACTTTGGTAATTGGCTTGTCCATCGTCGAATTGCATGAGACACAGTGGAAACTCCAACTGTGACAAAAACAAACGCGTAAACAACAGCGGAAGGAGGGCTGCTCTCTCGTCTTGGAAATTTACCCTGGTGGAGGTATCGGTTGTAATTCGTGGCTTCCGCATTGGCTGCACACGGGCAAGGAGTAAGATGCGCTCTCATCCACACCAACAATCACACCTGCGAAGATAAAATGGAAAATCCGCATGCATCTTACAACAATTGGTGTTGGTAGATGTGTCAACGTCTTGAAATTAAACAGGTCAACCATTTCGACCAATTCTTGGTCTCATAATTATCTGATGATCTCCTGCTAAGGAATTTGCCCGAAAGAGCCCCATCGGCATATAAAGCACAAAGCTTTTATGCGGATGCCATCAAATGTGGGCGGAGCATGGGGTCAAAATCTAACGTTCAAGGATTCTCAGAAAGGTGGAAAAAATTAGCCCCTGACACCAGTTAAGCTGGGCCACCCAAAATTGGGTGTTATATCAAAACTGGATGCATGACCAATTCTCGGAGACCTACGGCTAAAATTGACGAGGAAGGCTGGCATTTTGGTTCAAAGTGGCCCTTTAGGGCAAACTGCCCATCTTGTACTCTGACGCACTCCTGCAAAGGATTTGCTCAAAGGAGCCTCAAACGAAAGCAGGAACCCTTTACAAATGGGTGAAACAAATTTGCAAAATTGTTACACCAACAGTTATGCCATCTAATGCGGGTGGAGCATGGCATCAAATTTTGTTTATCTGTTCGAGGATTCGCCAGAAAAATGGGTGTAAGGGGTCGTTCATCGCTGCTTGCTACTTTTGGATTTTTATTGAAATCTGAGATGGCAATGAGACAAAGCAGAACCACATCTGACTCCTCACACACAAAAACAAGACAAGTATGCTGCCTTAAATAAGGAATTGATAAGTTCTAGCACATTCTGGGCCCGAGATCTTACTCCACTCATCATTTCCACCAGATACTAGTCACACTTGAGCGCAAAAGATAATGTTGTATTTATTTTCTCGGCCACCTGAGCAAACATGTTCGGAAAGAAGAAGCGGAGGGGTCGCGGGTGTGCACTTTGCTCCTCCACTGTGACACGCATAAGTCGACAGATGCAGATTATTATCTGATTTTCAGATTTTTTTTTTCAGCCACATTTTCACAGTTGGAAGGAATCAAAGAAAGCAAACACTTTTCACTGATGGCCTGGCCGTCACGCTGCCGAGGCAAATTAAACGTGTTGGTGTTCGTTTTGAGTAAACGGCGTTGAGGAAGATGTGTGTTGAAAAATGGATGCAATTGAAAGCGTGTGTTGGCCCTTGTAAGGGAGGACACAGTGCTGAAAAATGAACATTTGAAGTGTTTTTTTACCGAATCAAACTCTAAAGACCTTGACTGACCGGCATTCTTTTGCCTTCAGAGAGGTATCTTGATGGTGCTGGGTGGGTGCGACTGACCTGTGAGAGTACACAGCGAGTTGGGCGTGACCTCTACATGGAGTGGATCCAGTCTCGCAGGTTGGGCCGGGGGCTCCTGCGTCAAGCGAGAGTCGACAGAGTCCGCCACTTCAATGATGGAATGTTCCACGCACAACAGGAAACCTACATGCATTAAATAACAACAAAACACGCGTGCAAGCTCAAATGCTAATGTTTCTGTATAAACTTGCAGGCCACTTCATTAGGTAGACCTTGACAAATCTACTGGGATCAAAACAAGAAAAACAAATCATAAATACATCATTCAAAAAGTATCTTGCAGAGAAAATCAATTTACCATCATGTTTTAAATTTTGGCAGACTCGTTTTGAATCTCAGCCTTCCTGTGTGTAGTGTGCATATTCTTCCCGTGCTTGTGTGCTTTTTCATATTTTGGCTCCCTCCTACATTCCAAAAATATGCGTGTTAGGTTCACTGAAGACACTAAATCGTCCACTGGCGTGAATGTGAGTGTGAATAGTCGTTCCATGATAGCACCTGAAGATAGCCTTACTGTAAAATCCGATGAATAACACTATTTAAAAAAAAAGCTATTAAATTTAAAGCAGTGCGTGCATAATGAGAAACAAAAAATGTTCACATTATTGAAACTTTCGTCAGTCACAAGGCAGTACTTAGACGTTATTAAACAAACTAACAAAAAAAAGTAATCACTAATTTATAGCAAAATTCATGCACGCAATGCCTATCTTCTTCACGTACTGTAATTAAAAGAACATTTAAAAGCAGCTACAGAGTTATTAACATTTTAAGGTACTGAATAAAAAATAGCTGACTAAAATTACACACCAGGAAAAAAAAAACAAGAACATGAAGTGTAATTTATGTCAGTTTAGAAACACGCATTTGTGAAATGAGAACCACTGATCCCATTTGAACTATGTGTTGTAAACTAGTTGCCAGCACTCTATTCAAGATGAGCATGAGTCCATGTTCATGTAATGAGTTACGTCACTAACTTGTTCCACCGTTTAGTTTTTTTTTTTCCTCCAAAATGTTATGTTTTAAACGCCAATTTCACTTGACACACTGCTTATTATTTGAATGAAGGATCCTTTGTATCAGTGAAAAAAAACCTGAGACTGATAGAGCCGCCTTGGTCATCATATGAGAAAATGCAACAATGAAATGGGGGCAAATTGTTCCACTGTACTACGGCACAGTGGGTGACTGGTTAGCACGCCCGCCTCACAGTGCAGAGGTCAGGGGTTCTAAATCCGGGTTGCGGCCTTCCTGTGTGGAGTTTGCGCACAGGAAGTTGAACATGTAAATGGAAACATAAAGCTCAATTGTTGAGTCTTAACGATTGTGGTCATCATAATGATTAAAAAACAAACAAACAAAAACGTTAGCCATAGATTGTGGAACTAAAACCTATCCTGCATTCACCATCTTCAGCACTAAATGATAAAAAAATGAAAACATTAAAATAGTAATCCCACAAACTCTGGGCAGGACAGTTAACTCCAAGTGGTTAGGAGGCCCTTTATTGTTACAAATGCATTTTAAAACTATATTCACATTAGAAGGGAATGAAGGCAATCAAAATTGTGTTGAAAAGGAGTGGAACGTCACGAAGCTCACCAAAACATAACCATGGACGCCCACAACATTTTGTGAGTTTTCATGCTTTCCACTTGATCACTTGGGTGCTACTTGTTCAAATGCTTCAACAGGTTTTTTGCATTGCTTTGTTCTTGACGACACACCCTGCACAACAGCTTCCTCCTCGACCTCACTCTGGAGATACTGCTAGGGGAGAAACTTCTCATGTCAAAATGGCTTCATCTTCATTTATTGGCCGATTCTGTTTATTTTAACTTTAAAACCAATGTTAGAAGGAGTACTCCGACAGGCTAGAGTCACGCACATTTAGCCCATGTTTGATGGAGTGAATATGCTCATAAATCGCAGGTCTGTCTCCGTGTTGCCTGGGAACCAAATGGGCCGTGGTACTGGTCCGTGGACCGGTGGCTGGGGATCCCTGATTTAGGTGATGATGTTGCAGCCTGGTGTTGATGGTTTTGGTATTATTTACACATGGGCATGGGGATTGTTTCACGCGGCCATATTGGATATTTGTTACTTGAAATGCACGTGGAAAAATGTATTTAAGGAGAAGAAAAAAAGTACAGGCATTAAATTGGAAATGGGCACAGTGTAAATTCAGTCCGAGAGGAAGGGTCACTATTTAAGGATATACTGCATTTCTGAGAACATAATGTACTCATAATGTACAAACTACGAATATTCAGCAGTGCAAAGAACAATAGATGAAAGATTACCGTGTTCCTTGATGGCGTCTGTGAATGACAAGCGGCACACCGCGGGGTCATTCAACGCTTTTAGGACACAGGAAGTGAGTGCACAGGAAGCATTCACATGCAATGGCACCGTTCGCCTGCAGGGCCAGTCGGGCGAACTCCCCTGCAGGCTCTGGTCTGTCAGCACCAGCCAAACCTCACCTTGACCTACATCGCACCTCTAAGGGCAGAAAGAGACGTTACCGGGAAATATTTATTCATCTTAGCGCTTCATTTATGTCCAATTGCTTCAACTAGACCGGATGATTCACTCATCCCGTTAAACAAACAGCAGCACTTTGCCATCCACACATCTAATCGGTGCCGCAATGCACAAAGTCCACCCGGAGCTTGCTATCTCATCTTGGTCAAAGTTTAAAGGTTTGGCCAATCAATAGCAAAGAACGGCCAAGCCTGGTGAGCATTATCACACACGGCGATACAAGCGCTTTTCTCGAGGTCAGAGGTCAAGATTATCAGTTAGGAGGGCAAATAAGCTCAAAAAAGGCGGTTTGAGTCGCTTCTGGTAACCTTTCGGCTTTACATCACCGAGTGATTACTTCAAGTAAAATTAAAGCTGTAAGCAGCAATAAAGTGAATCCTCAAAATGATCATTAAACTTTGACAGCATAGACTGCAAAATAGTTGAGCAATTAAAAGGGAGTTTGAGCCCCAAATTTAATTAACAATAATCATGAATTTTTGACGCCCTACTTTGCTCAAAGTGGATGGAAAAGGCAAAAAAGCTTCTCAATTTAGCATTGTCCATTTTTGTAGATGTAGCTATATTTTCACCAGGACATACGCACTGGCCAAAATTGGCGTGTTTTCAGGCTTGTTGAGGCCCACCCTAAAAGGCAAATAATAGCATTCCAAGTGAAAAAGAAGAAGAAAAAAAAAAAGAGTACCTGTATTCTCTTGTAAATAACAGTGGCAATGAAACTGCAGCAGTATGTTTTGTGGTCATTCTGCAAGTGGACAAAAAAAAAAAAAAAAAAAAAAGAAAGAAAAAAAAAAGAAGTGTGAGGTTTTTGGCAATTGCGCAACTTCATTTCTCATCTTACTGGCCGCCTCACTTGTAGTACATCTCGCAACGTTTGCCCCGTGGACGGAAGGTGCAGCGGGGACACACTCGAACTTTCTTCCACGGGTTCCACTGAGCTCTCTTGACCTGACAGGACGTAGCAGAAGCTTGGAGGACGCTTCTGGGATGGAAACGCGACAATTAGGACAGGCTTCTTTCAAAACAGGCACATGAAAACATGTTGCAAATTTAACCTCATTTCTTGTGATTTTCTCAAGTCTCTGCTGGTTGCCAAGCAACCAACCAAACAAACAAAACAAATGACCGCCCCCCCAAGGAAGTCACTGCACCTAATCAAGCCACGTTTGAGCAACATGTCTTTATAATATTATTTATGCACCACAAACTGTCATTTTCAGCGTTACTATTTGGTATTGTACTGTGCAAAAGTTGAAGGCCGCCATTCGAGTATAGTTTTAGCAGCACTCTTAACGACCTTAAAGGAGAAATATTGTCTGGGACATGTTTTGTGAAAATGCTTCAAGAATCAAGAATGATAGCATTTATTTGTTGCCTCACTGTACTCAGTCTGTTTTGAGGGGTCAGTCCGGTCTTTGCACACAGTTTTGTTGTTGCACTGGTTTGCGCAGGTGCACCGAAAAATGTGTTCGGCTAGGGTTGGAACTTACGCTGGGCATGCTTGCTGCGTTTCCATGGCACTCGCGGGGCTGCTTCAACGGAGGCCACAGACTGTCTATCAAGCTGAAAAGACTGGAGCGCCTGAGAGTGAGACAGGATGTAGAGTAAGGAGTGAGGAGTGAGAAGAGGGTGGGGCAGATGCTGGAAGAGCGACTGGGGGTATTTGTTGCTGAATTCAGGACTTCAGTGGAACTTTGGCAAGCAGTTTCACTTCCACTCTAGCACAAGGGAGGCAGGCACATTCCTAACTGCTCATCTAAGCTTTCTGCTGACTATTCTTGATGGTGGTCACATTCATGTATGAATACAAAGTATGTGTTACTTATGTACGTAAACAGTGTTGTGTCTCATTGCCTGATGTACGTTATTATGATTATTATTTGGGCCCAAGATGGGACTGCTGTGAGGTCCCTATTGTTTCTGTTGAAATTGTTGTTCTTTTTTTCTGCAACAAATCATATTTTTGACGGGCCTAAACGTGTATTTAAACTCCCCAAACTTTGCACACACTTTGGGCCTGGCAAAAAAAAAAAAAAATATATATATATATATATATATATATATATATATATAT